GTAGAATTGAGTTTAAAGCTGAGAAAGATGACTGCGCCGCCCCACAGTTATGCATAACTGTATCCAACCCAGCACTGACCCCACTTCCATCACCATTACTCTGCTTTAACACTTCACTGTATGATAGGTCGCCAGGTGCCACAATAACTTGCTCTGTTTGTGTTGATGTCTGCTCCGTGAGTTGATCAGCTGCTCTTGTCTCCGTCGTGGACACTGGAGTAGTTGCAGCCTCATTAGGTGTTACATTGGCAGTGGTGTCTCCAGCTTTAGCTGTGTCCAGTTGAGGTGGTGAAAGGTGTCCCTGTTTTTTGTTGATAAAGTCTTTCAGTTGACAGACAAAGTCTTTGTGGGATAAGCCATTCTTTAAAGTCTGACCAGGATTGTGACCGTATGAGACTATTGTGACTTTAGCCTTAGTAATTTGTTGGAACTTAAAGATGTTGTTTATAAAGTGATTTAAATCTATCTTGTCCCGAACACAACCAATTGGGGAGCAGATGAGGTGTTCTAGCTTCTTCCTCCTAAAACTGTCGGTTAGGTCTTTAAAGGCAGTATCATAATCACTTTTGTAAGGTTTTTCAAAATATCTTGCTTTTGTTATTAGACTATACACGGCTGCTCCATTATGGTGATTTTGTATAGCCAAGTGACTGGTTAAGCGCTGTGATGGTTTAGGCTTTCCGAAATAAGACCTGAACACTACTGCTACCCCAGCAGTCATGTGGCCTGGATCAGAGAAATCGGCAGAGATGCTGTGTGCAAAACCAATTTTCTTGTTTTTTTTATGTTGTTGAAAAATATTACCGATGTGAGTTTCAACTAACTTTATAGGCATGGCATCATTATAAGGCTCTGTCATTTTAGCTACCTTCTTCTTAGCTCCTGATTTACTTAAGTTTACATCAGCTGAGTATATCCGCAACAACATATCTCTTATCGCAAACGCTAATTTTTTCTTGCCTCTTATGTTGAAATGGAGTCCTTGCCGTCCAAAATGAAACCGTTGAAATTTATTGCTGTCTAGGTCAACAAGATGAACATTTTGCATTCGCTCAGTTAGCTCTCCAATATAAGCATTAAGGAGATTTATTTTGTTTTGAACTGGATCCATGATATCAGCATCGAACCTCTGAGGAATTGTAGTCAAAATCACAGTTTTTTTGCTACTAATCTCGATAAGCTTTTTCTCCAGGTCTCTGTAAACTGACTCAAAGTTACCACAGAAAGAGTCATTGGTACCACCCATGAGGATAATAATGTCATCCAACGAACCCTGTGCTGCTTCTACAACACTTAGTAATGGTGCATTGGGGAGAACGGTTCCACTCGCTTCAATTTCACCCTGCCCAGCATTTTCAATAAATTGCTGAACACCCCTTCCTTGACTGTCCGAGTAAACCGAAAGCTTAATTTTCTTATTAAATATCTCTCCTATTTTTTTCTTAATATTTTCAGTCTTGTTTTTAAGATATGGCTTCCTAATGACAAATGAAGGTTGTTGTGTTGTAAGTGTTGCTTCTTGATCAGTAAAAACATTAATTGATCACATTTCAAAATGGCGGATCGAAGATGGCGGCTGAAAAAACTACATCCGTCATAACCAAGTGAAAATATGTCGGCAATGAATGGTGGTGTATACTTATCTTTATCTAGCACTATTTTGAGATTATGGTCTTAGTTTGTAAATGCTCAATGTTAAAATGCGCTAAAAATAAAGTTATAAAAAGTCCTCATAACTTTAGAACGGATCAAGATTTTTAAAAACTAATTGCTGCATTGTAATCAGCGTAAAATTCTAGTTTGAAATAATGGGTCACAACCCTACCTTTACATTTGAAAAAAAAACTTTGTATCCAATATGGCGGATCCAAGATGGCGGCCAAAAATGTATACCCAGTCAAAATGAAGTACTTACTACTCAACAATGATCTGACGTGGTCCGGAGATGATATCTTAAGAAATGTAAAAAAAAGTAGGGGGGGAACTCATTTAAAATTCACCCTGTATAATCGCTCTACGCGAGGGATTTAGTTTGCATCTGCAATTTTGGTAAAAAGAGAGAATACAACAATGTAGCTTTCAATATTTCTATCCCAAACATATATCTATTTCCAAATCAACTGATTGTTTTTAAATATTTACCACATATGCCGCAAAGAAAAATGGATGGTGTATAATGTATGGAAGAGTACTAAGTGCTCTTGTGCTGGTAGCGTTGCTGGCTTGTATTTAGTGTCTCAGACTTTAGTGTGAGTGGTATGAGTTTAATTCCTAGCATATTTGTAACTTAAATTTTATGGGCTTGGACAGCTTACCCTTTTTAAGTGTTTGTAATTCCATACCCTAAATTACTTTGGCCTTGACATTACAATAACAACATTTCCACCATGAAACGCACTTAGTGTAGTGTATACAGTGGTAGATCCATTAAGTTGCAGTCACTACACACCTGTATGGTAGGCCTAACTCAAGTATCTCTGTGTCAGATGTTAGCAGTCAAGTTCCATGGCAATCTGTTTGTCAACCTGCTGGGAGTGTGGGCTGACGTGGGAGGTGGTGGTCCCGCCAGAGCTTACCCTGTAGGCGGACTTTGCTACTATCTCTCACCCCCGGAGAACCTGGGACATATCTTGGAGGATCCCATCCACGCTGTCCTCTACATCGTCTTCATGCTGGGCTCCTGCGCCTTCTTCTCCAAGACTTGGATCGACGTTTCCGGCAGCTCTGCCAAGGATGTAAGTGAAAAATTGTAGAACTCAGTAGATGCTTGTTAATTCAGCATAGGTCGGGGACTTTGTGTGAGACTATTGGAAATGTCAGATTACTGAACATATTCTAAAATCTGCCATTATGGTAAGGCTAGCGTAAATACTGCTTATTTTAAACGAAATAAATCATTGCCAATTATTTAAATTTTTATCGTGATTATTGAGTAGTGGTTTTAAAATGCTAAAACAAATAACACACCCCTGGATTCAACCGACTGCAACTGAAATCTTCCGATCCCTACCGATGTTGCCAATAGCTCCATGTCAGAACTAGCACCCACAAAGGAAGATTAGTAGGAGAGGGAATGTACTAGCTTATTTTTTGTGCTAATTTCAGGTGGCAAAACAGCTGAAGGAGCAGCAGATGGTGATGAGAGGTCACAGAGATAACTCTATGATCCACGAACTCAACAGATACATCCCCACTGCAGCTGCCTTCGGTGGTCTTTGCATCGGAGCCTTGTCCGTCCTCGCTGACTTCATGGGAGCGATCGGCTCAGGAACCGGTATCCTATTGGCCGTCACCATCATCTACCAGTACTTTGAGATATTCGTCAAAGAGCAGAGCGAGATGGGCGGAATGAGCACGCTGCTTTTCTAAGTTGTTACGAAGCTTTAGGAGTTTTAATAAATTGTTATTTATTTGTGTCGATTTAGTGGTGAAAAAGACATTACATACTTGTCACATTGACAAACTTCTGCTAGACGACGCCAACTGTTAAATGTAATTTTGTACTTTAAATGACATTAAAAAATGTGAAAACTATTGGATTATTATTTTGAATCTTGGTTGTGTATTCGGTTTCATGTTTGTGTGATTTGATGTAAATGAAATTTTAATATATTTTTGAGGATCCATGTGCAGCTGTGTAATATGATAATCTGCAATTTGTTTAACTAGTTTTATTTTGCTTGTTTATACTTATCCGTGGTTTTTCAGCTTTTAATTTATTCAAGTCGCTCTACTGTAATGGAAATTTTAATTGAATTTTGCCTAATATTAACAATTATTTATGCATAAGTTTAGGTTAACTGTACCAATACTATGTATTGGTATTGTTTTATAAATACCTACCTTATAGTTTATTGTATTTAAAACAAAGGATATATTTACTTCAAGTTCCGTGCATATTCTCATCTCATGGTGTGGGGCGACCACTGATCATATTTCATTCCTCATTTCAACATTCGTTATTGTAATTTTGTACTATAAAATGACACTGAATAAACGTGTCCAGAAGTACAAGTGTTAATTATTCCATTACCTGCCTATTGAGTCAGTGTAAATGGGATTACTACTGAATGCTTATAGTATTGGTCTACAATCTGGAGGCTGCTAGTTAGGTCATGGGAAATTCAGCAGCTTTTTGATGGTTTGGGACTGGACCCAGCTGTCTTTGATCATGGTTGAAGAACCAGCTTATCATAGTCAGCAACAAAGATACATAAACGGTATCAGCATTCTGACACATACTTTCTCCCATAAGTTTGTCAACAACCTTTATCATGTGTAAGCGGTGAACGTAAATATACGGCCAAAACCAGAAATTTCGAACCTCAAAACCGAAAATTAAAAAATCAAATCCCGAATCTCAAAACTGAAACGCAAAACTTTTTTATTTGCCCAGTCAAGGCAAATTATTTATCTCAAAACAAATTAAGATAATAATAATTTGAATATGTGGCTAATAAACTAAACCTAAAAATATTTTTAATAAAATACAAACACTAAAATAAATATAAGTAATAGATGAATTAAAACATTTAGTGGTCAATAATATTATTTGGTTTAGTAAATACCGGTATGAAACTGTATATAGTAAATTGTTCTAGTATTAGTAATTATTTAATTTATTATACCTATTGCTGTTCAATATTATTAGTTACATTGGCGTTACTGAAGATTTGTTTGCTCCATTGCTGCCAGCGAGTGTAAACAGTGTTGCAAAAATACAGTAATGATGCAAAAAATTTCAATTTCAAAACAATACAAGAACTTCCCAAATCTTTAATTTTAAAACCATAACATCTCGAAACCGAAACTTTTTTCAAGTTTTGATGGTTTTAAGATTTGAGATTCGGTTTTAAGATATCACTACAAGGAATCATATTTGGGTTGAAGTAAACCTTAGTTTGCTTTACTTTTGGATACTGGAATACTTGCAAGTTCTAAGAACTCATAAATAAGCTAAACAATCAACAAATAAAGGAGTAAGGAAAAAACAAGAAAAGTCAAAAATAATAATTGGTTTTTAATTAATCAAATAATTTTTGGCCAATACAAATGACATTACAAGCATTGAACATTTTTCAAAATCTTTAGAGTTCTGCGGGACATAAATTTGTGATTGGATAGGACATACCTATACCTACTATTTTAACAGATTAATTAGAACAAAATGTTACAAAATAAATTTCAATGACTAGTTAACAGAGTAAATTAATCATAAAATAGTCGTTATATTATCTAAGATTCCTGTAATCTCTTGGAATTCACTTTTGTCCCAATAACAAACATTGGCAATATATTGTTCGGTCCCAACCTCTGCACATCTCTAAATTTATTGAACAGGCAGATTGATTTTTTAATAGGCTATGGTTTAATGTTTGTTGATAAATTACGGTTAATTCCATTACAATATAAAAAAAGGCAATGTGGAGTAAGGAATTTATCAAAAACTACGGAAATAATATAAAAAATAAAATAATTTATCAAGCTGGCTCGTCAATTTGTCAATCAAACAAATTCAAACTTAAAGCATGCCACTTCCATTTAACAGCAGAGCATTTGTGACAACAAAGTTCAATAATTGCAAACAACTTTGGTTATGAGTTAATAATATATGCCAAAACAAGTATACAAACTGTTGCTTTGGTCCAATTACACTTACATGACAAATTTTAGTTTAGATTTTTAATACCCCAGGATATTCGGGTAATCTGATAATTTTGACAATCAAATTTACATTGTTAGGATAAACTAATAAAATGTTAGAGCTTGCAATATTCTACAGCAGGCTAGTTAGTTATAAAACTAGTGAAGTTTCTTACCAATGATAACGAATGCAGGGGTTTAGTGTATCTAATGTTCTACAGTATATTGAACCAACTATCCCTACTCTTGGATAGGAAAAATGGCTTTTGGACCTTGTGGATAGCTTCATATGTGTTTATTAATTTATGTTCATCATGATAAAACCTTAACCATCAACTACTGTATTATACCTCTGGATACATTTTCCAAAATGAACAAAAGTTTCTTTTTAATTTGGAAATAAAATGTCTAATGTTCAATTTCATTTATATTTGTTCTGAAATATAAATATTTTTTATATTTAAATAATAAAAAAAAATTCAGATAAAATGAAATTCTTTCGAGGGAATTATTTAGTCCATCTAAATGTTAAAATCCAGGATTACTTGACAAACTCAAAAACTATTGAAGATATTGTTTATTTATAAGTTAAGAGACATGAACCAGTGTCAAGAGTTGGTATTCAATAAATAAATAGCACAGATAAATTATGAAAATAAATTAAGGACAGACATGACTTAAATAAATTGCCTAGATAAACTTTAAAGCTGTTGTAACAATAAATACAGTAGTAATATAAGTCTTCTTTCCTATGTGTCAATAATTATCCTACAAATCGAAACGTACAAGAGTTGTTTAGAAAGTAGGGAATGTTTTTTTCTGATACTGATGGATGCATTAGCTGTACAATTTCTAGTACAGACCTGTTCTTTTTTTCACTGACAGTCCAGCCATCACAAAAGAAGGGTCACTGCGCAATATTACAGTTTAAAAAGTGTGCTGAAATTAAAAATCTCACTAATTGTAAAATGTGGAATGTAATACAGAGAAATGTTTATGCACGAGTTGCTGATCGTAGTCTTAATGTTTTTAAGTATTGCCAACTTATTTCAACTTGTCTTACGTGTTTAAAAGCACACTGTTTTTGTTTGTTGTTTGGTTGGACTTCTGTTGTACCTTAGTCAGGTGACTCTAGGACAACATTCTTTACTTTCCGAACAGCTCTTGTAACATCCTAAAACAACAATATAACAAGGCATTTATACTAATCAATATAAAACGTTATCACATTTAGGCCTACTGTTAGCCTTATGCTTTGACAAAATTACAGTATTACATCACAGTACAAAATATATAAAAAAATAATTTTTGTACATACAAATTTGTCTACCTAAGAGCACTATTGTCAACCGTGTGTAACCAGATAGGTAATTGTGGAAAGTATCTTTTTGCCCCGTGGATCCGTCAACAGATTCAGAGAGGGATCCTTAATTTTTTGATCCATCAACTTCAACAGTTCCTTTTGCATTGTTTGTAGCAACTCGCCAATCTGAAACATGATTTAGCATCATATGAAAAAAAATTGAAACAAGACTGTGAAACTGGATTCAGAGAAAAGCTGCCAAAAAAGCAAAAACAGTGTCTCTCATTTGTCCCCATCATTAAAGGTTGAGTTTCTGGGGAGGTTTTATAAGCCGTCTTGATATGGATGTTATTTTAGCTGAAGATTTCCCAGAGGTGTCTGGAGGAACCATTAAACAGTTTCTCATTTCTTCATCGATTCAATGATCCAACTGACCATCTGATTGACGTTTGTGGTTAACCGTTTAAAACTTGGTTATGTACGTACCGTTGTCTATGGATTCGATTATCCATCTGACCACTTGTTGATGGTGAATGGTTGTGGTTGCTTTCCTTTAGAATATTTTGCATTGGTCGCAGGTGAAACCGGTTTCTTCAAAACTATGGTTCCTTTGTCAGTCAGCACTTAAAAGATTGTAGTGAGTTTAGCTTTTTTACCACTTGTCCTTCATGTTCCAGATCAGATATCCAAACGTTGGTTCCTGGGTTTACATTAGATAAGGGTCGAACACCATGTCTTCGATCATAATTTCGTTTGTAGTTTTGTCTATTAATTAATACATGGTGCAGTCTTTATTTGCATAGTTTGGAGTGACCAAAGGCTTTGGTTGTTTCAACTGTTTATGTATTAATTAATAGACAAAACTACAAACAAAATTATGATCAAAGACATGGTGTTGAATGGACATCAGATTCCCTTTGGGAGCGTAGGTTTGGGTCCTACCGACTGCGCCATGTATTAAACTCATGAAAATCAGAACTTATTATGAAAGAATAATTTTGGTAAAAATATTTAATTAGTACAAATCAACTAGAAGTAAACAATAACAATTAACACAAATCTAGAATGACAATTGTCAGTAGAGCCAACCATTACAGCTCTCTATCCCCCCTCCTGAATTGTCTTCTTTCAGTTGGAATCAAACATCTTTGAAAGGATAAGTAAGATCTACCACGCGAAAAGGGCTGACACAACACTCTAGTCCCATTTTGAACAAATATGTATTGTAAATGGGGTCATATAAAAACTCCTATCTAATTCATTGCAACTATTGCTTCTAAAGTTGGGCTCAAACTGTCTTACATGTTCGTTTTGAGAAATTCAGAACATTTTCCCGAACATTTTTTATTTTATATGGATTTTACGGTAAAGCCACGTGGCTGATAAAGGTATGCAACACCTGACAGTCATCATTGGTATGGCATGTGACCTTTCCTTGTGTAACTATAAGCTTCTGGATTTCACTTTTCTCAAATAAGCTAACAAATCTTTAAAATAAAACCAAAATAGAGTGGTTTTATCTTAAACTTAACGATCCCCAGACAAGAGTCAATAGATTGAACAGTTGCTGTACTCACTGCATGGTTGTTGATGGTGAACATGATCCATCTGTCCTCAAGAGAGATTGTGAACATGCTGTTGCTCAACTCAACACTGAGTTCATTGCTGCTGAACATCACCAAGGGAAGTACTGGGACCATTGTACAGTCTCTGATGAAGATCTTGGAGGTTTTTACCTGTAACAAATTACTTTGAAACTTGGGCCTATTCATAAATAAATTTTGTGAATCCTTAGCATCAAATACCTTGAATGTAGACACTTAAAACCGATAAACCAACATTGAAACCGATCCGTCCCTAGTTAAATAGAGATCACAGAGGTCTAACCAATACAAACATGAATTAAGAGAATCTTCCATAAAAAAATCATATGAACTATTGAAATAATTCATAATTTACAGCAAAATAAATAAAAATTAACTCAGCACTCACCTTTTCTTGGAAGACAAGATATGGACTGGAGAAACGGCCTTGATTGTAATTCACAGAAGATGGATGAAGATGAACCTGAAAATGAACAACAAATAAAAACATTATCTTTTCTAATTGATCACTTAACTTAAAAGATTGTATACTGTCTTGACTACTTAAATATTAATTTCATTAGTAAATACTCAAACTTTCCATTTGATAACAAACAACACCGTCACATTTTCAATCCAGCACTCACATTCAAAAGCCAATTTTGCATTTAGTAAGTAACATTTTAAGATTAGCTGATTGTTATTTTTATTTATGATTTGGTTAGAGGAGAATAAATTCTAATGAACTGCTGCTCAAGTGTATGGGAAACAAAATTTTAAAAGAATTTTTACTTACATATCCGTCGCATTTGGTCTTGAATTTGAGGTCCTCAGGCTTTTGCTCCTTGGGTACAGCCCCTGAGATGCTGTGGGCGTAAAACTTCTCCGGGCTTAGCACCTTAACAATATTTGGGTACAGAGCCGCGCTGAGGAGGCCCGCTAACAGCTTATAATTTTCGCCATTGGAGTTAAGCTGCAAGTGAGAACAATTATGAGTAAATATTTTTACAATAGATGACATTGGAATGTTAACACTTAAAATAGCTTCAAGATTGCAAGAAGCTCATCTATATGCTGTGAATTCCTAGGAACACAAAAAAAGAAACAGGCCTCACACACTAGGAGTGATAAGTTTGTTAAGAACTTTTCCTTGTAAATGCCACATAATTCAATTTGTAATCACTGATAGGTGGAACCAATCAAAACACTTGTCACACTAGAACGATTTCATTAAAACTATAAGTGAACAATGAATAGAGTGAGATGCCTTGTGTAGCTTTGTACTGACTAAGATTGAGAATTTACATTGGGACAAAACAAAAGTGACAAAGATGCAGCCCCAGCCTACTGAAACAGCTGATGCACAAATTTATAATGGAGTCTCTGCACAATGTTATTACCATGGTAATAAGCCGGTCGGTGTGATATTCCTACACCCCCCCCCCCCCTCTTGTCTTAGAAGAGGCTATGACATTTATCTAGGCCAGCTAGCTCTAGTTTCAAATCATCATAAAGCTACTGACCTTTTTAGCATCAAACCAACGAACAGCTTACTGATTACTGGTCGAGCACGATGACCAATTCAAGAATATTAAAAAAATCTATAAACAGTTCTTGTCAAGAAAACTATTACATATGTGGTGAAGAAGGTATATTCTAAGCCGGACAAGATTCATTGAAGACTACAGGGTGGCCGAAAAGTCCCTTTACACAATACTAGCTATTACCCACGGGATTCACCTCGTTTGACTTCATAAGTATTAAAAAAACTATTGATTGGTTAAGTTAAGCTAAAAAAAAATACAGTAATACAAAAAAATAATCACACCAGATTTTAATACAGTAGTTATGCCTAATTGAAAGAATAACATACTCCCCCAGATGTGAGTCCAGCCACTACTTACAGAAAGTTAACTACTTACCTCCTCCCCTGTGAGCTCTAATATCTTGTCTTCATTGCACCTTCTATTTTGGCCCCGGCAGTTATCCGGGACAAAGCCTATAGAAGCCAGATACTCCAGGAACTGTGACTTTATGCCAATCAAAGTCTGCATAGTGCGGACAGAGAGAAAGTTCTCGTTAGCGTACGTGTAACCGGCGTTTTTGCCGCTAGCTGCTGCTTTACGCCAGCCCTGTGGAATATATATTATTATCACTTCTATTACATAATGACCATGTGAGATGGGGACACAACTGTATTTACAATTTCAATAATTATTGTTAAATCTTTCATATAGCAAGGTTCTAAGTAGTTCAGTAGCTCTTAAGTATGTCTAAATTTCAAGTGTAATCTATTCGTTACAGGCATCACTTTTGTGGAACAGAATGTTTAATTAATAAAGAATATAGAAAAACTCTAAAACAATTTTGATTTATATTTAATCTTTTCACTAACAGCCTCCATAGTAAAATCTTTTTAATGACAATGTTTGGTAAGAATGAACGATCCAGTATGAGTGGTAGTAACGTCTACTTACATTGTATGCTCTCAGTATCGTAAAGTGATCACTGTTTGCTACCATGAATTCCTTCTTCTTCTTGTTTACCTCATCTTTCTTATCAAAGTGAAATTGGAAAGGTGATTTTTGAGAAAGGCTGAAATCAACATTGTGTAAATTTATTAGTCAACAATATCCTATTTGCTAATCAACACAAACTAGTATTATAATGATGAAATTACTATAGCGTCATGATGATAGCTTACGGTCATGATGGCATTGTGATCAATGCACACATTGTAAAAGCCAATAATACTTTCTTACTACTGATAACTATATCAAAGGTGTTACAGGCCAAAATATAATCAAACTATGATACGTAGGCCTACAATGAGTTGTCATAATCATAATAATGAACAATAATTGAGTATAGTGTAATGATTAAATTAGGGGTGTGCGAGTATTCGAACATCGAGCTTTTTCGAGCCGAATAGGACGCTATTCGGCTCGGCTCGTGATTTTCAAAAAGTTCGAAATGTTCGAGCCGAATACTTATTGAACTAGCAAATAAAAATTAAATTAATAAATAAGGAACTAACTTTCATTTAAATTTACTCTCCTCCGTTTCATAATTGTGTCTTGATAAGCACGAACCTCAGCTCAGTCAAGACGCAATGATTATCGATCGTAATTTTGAGGAAACTACCACCTATCGCGTTGTCTTTCTAACACAACTATTCGTATCGTAATATACAACGCAGTGCGAGTGCGTGATTGGCTAAGTCGCTATGACGACACACGGTTGCCGTGGCAACCTACAGTGCGCACTGAGCACTGCGCCTTGTGTGGGAGGGGAGATTATACCAACAAACTATTTCAGGAATTCTATTTTGGGACAGATGAAAGATAAGGAAGAAACAAAAAGTGGTCTCGTGTGCAAATGTAGTGGGCGAGACAATAAGGCTGTAAACGAGTATCGTCGTGTCGTTGTTCCTTGTTTGTTTACTTTTTCAGATTCCTTATCAAACGCCCCTATCTGCTATCTCTCTTTCTCTCTCTCTCTCTCTAACAATGTACTGATTAAACAGATTGTGGTTGACGACTTTTCTACTTGTAAGTTTCCCTGCGGTTATTTTAGTTCAATCAATCCCGTAACCTTTCTAATGTTTATCAAAATAATTAATTAATATGTTTTGTATTTTATTTCCTTTAAACCAACCCCTATTTACCATCTGTATATTATAGAATAAAATGTTTGTTTATAAAGTTTGACTGGCCACACAATTTTGTACCTATTTTATTTAGTATAAAGTAACAGTTACTTTGAGGATTATATATATATATATATATATATATATATATATATACAGTAGAACGTCGATTATCCGAAGCCCGGTCATCCGAAACGTCGGTTAACCGAAAGGAAGAAAGAAGCAAAAATCAATAAAATCGCGCGCCAATCACGACTGGCCGTAGCGCTACGCCACCGCACGGCTGCTAAGTGGTGAAAGTCTAAATATAGCTCAAAGGTCTGACCCTCCCCCTTCCCCCCAAACCCCTACTTCATTCGCTGTTGTTATGCCCGCTCACTTCGAGAAATATTATCCAGTATTTCATGTAAACACAAGTTACATTTTAACGAATATTGATTTTTTACCAATTTAAACCAAACTCGACTTGAAACTGCTGAGTTAAAAAATAAGCTCGAGTTTCAAGGCCGTACTCGACTCGAACTCAAAATCTCAAGTACTCGCACATCTCTATAATTAATCAAATTTATATTATTGTACAGTATCCACAGATGCGAAATCGGCAAATCGCCACCGGCCGCTATCCCTTCCCGTTCCCCGTATTTTTCCCCTCAATGACTGGTTATCCGAACAACCCCAATCCCCAATTAATTTGGATAATCGACGTTCTACCAATAAGTGGCGCGTGCTGTAATGAGTGCTTTTTATTATCAAAATAAGTAATGAGTTATTAATTTTTGATTGTACATGGGTCATTGAATACCATAATGTGATGTAGTTTCCTATTTGTATCTTGCAAATAATAATAATTGATAGGTAGTTAATTCTGGAAATGAAAAATAGTGATCGCATTCATAAACCTGTTGTCAAAACAGCAACGAGGGTGTAAGGGTTTATTGTTTCAGACGCAAGGGTGTTTCAAGGACAAAGTGTTGGGCCACCCGGATTGGGGGGGAGGGGGGCGGTGAGACTGTGTGAAGGGGAGGAAACTGGTTTTGGCTATTTATTGATTAGTTCGCCGACCCTTCTAGATGACAAAATTGAGTGACAGTGTTAAATCATCGTGTTCTGCATTTCATTTCTTGTTTACTTTGTGTGTTATTCTATTAATTCTAGTGCTTTGGTCTATTTCCTCTATATGTCAATTATATATATTTTAATATATAAGTAAAACTTGTCTCTCCACCTTATTGGATCCAAACCAACCATGTTCTTTTTTGATTAATAGGATTCATAAAACAAAAATATTTTGTGCATGGAAAACAACAAGAATAATCACGTGTTTTTAAATTTATTTTGTATTTATTTATACAAAATATCCTACTAATATTATAAATGAGAAAGTTTGGATGGATGGATGTATGGATGTATGGATGTATGTTTGTGACAAGTGAACGCGAAAAATACTGGTCGGATTGGGCTGAAATTTGGCATGATGATAGCTCACATTCCCGATTAACATATAGGCATATTCTTATTTCAAAAATCCTTTCGGGCTCCGCCCCAGTGGCTCTGGAGTTTCCCATGTTAACCTTATGAGAAATGAAATTATTGAATCTTAACAGCTGTTTCAATTAAACAAGTTGGTTCTGTTCTGTGATGTTCGATAGCATTAAAGTTACAAAAATTACCAACAGGGTGCAGCACTATTATTTCTTTTACATTTATGACAACAGCTAATTTGCAACCAAAAGGTGAGTGAGCGTAGCGAACGAACTTCAACCTGGAGGCGAGTTAGCGTAGCGAACGAGCTAACCTGAAGGCAAGTGAGCGCAGCGAACGAGCTCCAACCTAAAGGTGAGTGAGCGCAGCGAACGAGTTCCAACCTAAAGGTGAGTGAGCGTAGCGAACGAGCTCCAACCTAAAGGTGAGTGAGCGTAGCGAACAAACTTCAACCAGGACGTGATTGAGCCATGCGAACGGGATAATCTTGAAAATTAAGAAGTTAAACGGGGCAAAGCCCGCGGGTTACAGCTAGTAATTAAATATTCATAGTAGTTACAATATACATATGTAATCGACTTGCTAGTTGTTTTGTCATCATTCAAGGTCGCGTTGCTGTTCTGTTATGAAAGACAATCTGATTTTCTCAGTTTGCACTGCATATCTCTTCAGGCCTTCAATCGATATCCTTTTATTTCTTGCATCTTCATTTAGTTCAGTTCAGTTCTAATCGTGATTATCTACTATTTGATGTCTTGACAATTCTCAATGTTTTTAAACATATTAAAATAACATTGTGTTTATTTAAAAATTGACTGAACATTATTATTATTATGCACTTTTTTAAGAAAAAAAGTTTAATAATTAAGATAAGGTTACGCTAGGAAAAGCTCGGCTCGAAAAAGCTCGAGCTCGAACATTTTTTAAAAAGCTCGGCTCGGCTCGGCTCAAGGTTGAAAATCACTATTCGCACACCCCTAGATTAAATTAATAAAAACAAAAGAGTTTTTAACCAACTAAAAAGGTCTATTAAATGGTTTGCAGAGCATTTTTATCTTAAAAAATATTTCAATGCATTTGAGATTCACTGGTATTAAAAAATGTGACTGTAGAAGGGCCAAATATTAAGTAAATCTTTATTCCTATTTCTTAGACTTTTACTGGCATTTTATTGGATGATTTTAATACAAATCCATAGTCACAAAGTATTAAGAAATATATATCGTCAGTAGGTCTATCAAGGGTTTCTTGGGATTATCAAATGATAATATTGAAGTTGATCTATCCCTATTTCTAAGGTTTAACCGCAAAATTCATGGCTTATTCCAGAAATTTCATGGTTTCAGTTTAAAAAGACACAACTTTTTGTTTGTGAGAAAACTTCAAGCAGATAATGTAAAATTTTCAGAAGATATCCATAAAAATGTACATGTATCGTACATTCCCCATTATCATAACATGGGATATTACCTGGCTGCTATTGTGAGCACCGAGTCCAGACAGCTAAACATGGCTCCGTAAAGCAACAGTTTGCCGATCCTCACGTCTACAGGCAGTGCTGCCAGATGTTGGCCGAGAGGAGTTAGGTTCTCAGCCCTGTCCAGAGCTCCTACATGCACCAGTCTTGTGATAGCACCAGTGATGCTCTCTTCTGTCGGCGGCTCCAGCACTTCTCCTGTAAACATTTCAACCTTCACATTCTAGGACACAAGGGTCTAGCTCAGAACCAAATTACAAATTACTTAGGCCTATAGGTTCACAGTGTTACCACTTAGATAAAATCCATTCGTGGTTGGTGGGATTTGAACCCGGGACCTCAGGGACTGAAGTCCTGCATACTACCACCAAATCAGCTTACTCCAACTTTTTGGTAGGGTGATTGGTTAAGTTGTGGAAGTTTTTGTTGATGGAAGAGAGGAACACAGCAAAATACTAACACATGTATTGAAAAAAAAATGTTTTACAACAACGTATTTGCAAACACACCCAGCATTTTTGTGAATCATGTTTTGCAAAATTGAATAGCATTTTGGTGGAGTGAATATCAATATTGTAATTTATTGTACAATACTCAATATTGTATAATTCAACCTCGAGGTTATCGACTGATAGGAATATCTGACTATTAATCATAATTTCTACTTGACTTCTAGATGCACAAGACTCTGCAGTAAAAAAAACCTTAAGTTTGGCATTTTAGTTGTAAAGTTTTAACAATGGTCAAGGTATTGCACAGGGCCACGAAAAATTCAAACAAAATTGCCTTATTTGATGGAATGGAGATGATTAAAATTATGATGCTTTGAAAATGTTCATTATAAAACTCTAAGTTGGAGTACATAACAATATTGTTGAAATATGTTGGATTTGTGACTGATCCGAATTTTTAGCTACACCGACACTGACTTAACTTGTTTTAAAATATTAAACATATTTTGTGTTTCAACTTCACTAAGCACACTACAAGTCTTTTACTACAGCAAGAGTAGCCAATAACTAATTCACCAGTCTTCTGAAATGGAGGGTTATTTTGTGAGAATACCATTCGATGAACAGATCTCAAATATTGAATTGTATTGTTTTGATTAAAAATTTTGGAGAATTTTTTTATGAATTTTCCTAACAAAACTTGATTTGAAACAACTCATTAGTGTCACAATGAAAATGTTGATACCTGGACAAGATTTCTATAAACTCCATCACCATCTCTATCTTTAGAAAAAAAGAAAAAAATTGGCCTACTGGGAATTTTCAGACAGAGAAAAGATTTATGTAAAAATGATTACTGAGCTACACTGTCATTACAGAAATTCACTCCTAGTATAATGTTTTGAAGGATTATAATAATAACTTTTTACTGCTATAAAATGTTTTTTTTATATATTTTGATTTTACTTTTTAACTGAACTATTAGTCCACAGTAGCTGTTGCTTTGATTCAATTACAAGGAACTGAAGGAACCCAAGCGTACCTAACACTTGTTGAAGACCAGCACCAGACATTGATGGTAGCATTTTTATTCTCAATATTGTCTGTTCAAGAGGCACTCGCTTGATTTCTGGTATGGGCTGGGCATCCAAGAGATAGTCATACCTGTACAAATAAATATAGACGCATTACAAACAAACAATTTAACTCATCTTAAATGTTGTAAAATAAAGGTATCTTGATCAACATTGGGGAGTTGATAAAAACACTTTGACAAAACTAAGCTGTCAAAAATCAAAATTATCAAACTAGAGAACTTAACTTAATCCTAAAGCTCAGTTAAAACCATAATTGTTTATAATCAGAAAAGATTGTCCCTATGCACTGTGCAGTACTTTCAGATATAATTTAAAACATTTGATGGAATCCACTAACCAAAATGATTGTTCCTTGTTGGACCACCATTACAAAAACAAATTTGAATAGATACAGGAATAAATTATTATTAAGTTATATTTAACTAACATTCCTACTGAGATAAGTTTTGTTGTTCACAAAAACACATTTCACAAATTACTGTTTGACAAAAGACAAAAAATTACATAATAAAATTCAGACAAAACAAACATAATAGGATAGGAACAAGAATATGTTTAAGGTTCTCTGTTTGAGTAGCCTAACCGACTGCTAAACTAAAACGTCAATTATTATTATCATCGATCAGAACGTTTCCTAGGTGCTTATTTTAGCCCAAATATGAGCAAATGGCGAGTGAAGAATGGTGTAAGATGATCAGTTTAGCTTTGTTACTGACAAAGATCAGCTGTTTTGTTAGCCAGAATCATTTATTTAATGCCAGCTAAACGACGTTTTGATCAGGAACAGCTGGGTTTACAGCATAGTGCTGAATATCTACCACGGCCATTTAAACACCGTCTTCTCCGATTGTGTCACAATCAATAGGCCAATGTATGACAGTCTTGATAATCTTTGTCTCCTGTGATTTTTGCAAAATCATTTTATAACATCCCTTGGGATGAAATCAGAAATAGCATCATCATTGACTTCTAAAATATTGGAAAACCACTGAATATCTCCTGTGGTTACGTGAACATTAACATCTACTTCTCCTATCAGGGAAACGTTATCCTAGTCCCCTGCAGTTGCGGTAAAACCTTGGGACATTCCTTGTGATCTCAAAGACATTGCAACTATGTCACACGACCGCAGCAAAACTAATGAATCAACAGTTGATATTGATACAGAAAATATTGATTACAGATCAACTGTTTTGGTTTAAAACTGGTAAAACCTGTAGGATTGCACACTTTTACATTACTCACCTGTGTAAGGTGTACAGGTGGACACAAATACCCGGCATGACTCTGCCCGCTCGTCCTTTCCTCTGTAAAGCGTTTGCTCTCGACACCCAAACTGTCTCTAGAGATGCCATGTTCTTGTTGCTATCAAACCTGGAATGTTAAAATGTATTGACATTTATGATCACACAATAATCAATCTTGTAGAAAAAAAACTATTTATATATTAAGAGTGCAATGACTGTTTGTGATCGTAATACACACCAGATTTGTCCTACTATCATAATTAACTTATAATAACACGCAGATTATCTTTTTAGATGTACATACAATGTCATTTAGGTTATGTTTGATTTTTTTAAAGGTTATGTTATTTTTTACCAGTTATTAACTGCTAATGTAACGGATTCACAGCTGTTATTGGCCTAGTAATGACAACTGGGAAATCAGCTGATTAAGCGGGCGGGAATGATCCATTCTTGCGCTAGAGAGGCAATGAGCTATTTGCATACTGTTTACAGGTATGGCAGTGAGATCATTTCCGTGCAGTGGTAGGAAATGTAGTTTTATTCGTTAAGATTGTTTCAAATAGATCTGTCCCGACTCCCAACACAGTACTTTATTAAATTGCAGAGACACTGCATTAGATGTTATGGTTTGGTATAAAGAAAACAATATATATTTTCAACTTGTAGGCCTAGCATTTTTATTCTTTATTTAGTGTAGGCTATACATATTTGGATAATTTCATCATTTTATTTACATAGCCTAATTTCAAATAACTATTCTAAGGTGCGAAGCTAACAGTTTTTAGGAGTAGCATATCAATTGAAATATCATTTTAACTTGTATCTATAAGTTGTAAAGTAGTTTATTCCCAACTCGCTTCTCAGAAACAGAAATACGTTAAATACTGGTGGTTGAACTTTTATGTCAAATGAGTCAACACTGTACTACTGATATCTTATACTAACATTTTTAGAAGTGTAAAGATGTAGTGAATGAATAGTTGTAAAAAATGAATTTAAATAATGACAGTAGAGTGCATGAAAAAAACCTCGAATGTCCAGAAGCAAAATGACAAATAAAACCAAATCTTACCTTGTCTCTTTCATTTTTCCACTATCAATCACAAACACACAGTCATCAATGGTAACTGATGTTTCAGCAATATTTGTCGATAAAACAATCTTCCTTACACCATTCTTAGGTTTCCTGAAAAAACATTCTTTGATAAAAAAAACTTAAAAATTAGGCCTTACATTAATTTGGCAACAAAAGAACAAAATATAGAGACGTTTTTCAAGTCAAGTTGTTGAATAAGTATAAAGCAATGCGAATAAGAGCTAAACTCTTTCATTTATTACATTAGCATAACATTTATTTTTGTAACTCTTTAGTAATGAACATTTCCTAGGATAACGGTGCCAGATCGTCAACATGTCCCATGATCGCAGTACCATCGTGGGTCATTTACAGAACATCTCCCTCAGTTACAAAGACACCATCATTGTCTCTGGAGTTCATGAAACCATTGTGAATATCTCTTGCTATCATGGAGACATCATCGTCCACCATACCGGCAACATCTCCCTCTATCGAGAGACGTCATCATTGTTCACTGTTACTCCCAATGCAGAGAAACACGATGATTTGAACAAATCCAGTCCCGAGAACATCCAAAATAAAGCTTAATCCTGTCCTAATGATAAAACATATATTTTCAAGTACATTTCCTTAAATTTTCAAACTTGTTCACCCTTAGTTTTAATCCTTAATTAATTTGTTACAAATTTATCTTAGTGACACTTCTGCCGAGAATCGATGTACTAAACTAGGTATGAAAATAGCTCAAGAAACAAAAGTACTCACTCAAAAACCTGAGCTTGCTCTTCACTTGACAAGCTTGAGTGAAGTGGTACAAGCTTGAATCTATTATTTCTTGGATTAAAGGTCTGGTTGTTGGAGAGCATGTCGTGCATTTCCCGGATTTCCTGCATACCTGGGAGAAAAACCTGAAAAATTGAAGGCGTTCTTTAAAACTGTACGTCAGTCACTTTTACCACCACCGAATATCTTGGATCTTAGCCGAGGTCAGGTTGCTGTGAGGAAACGATGATTTATCATAGGCCCAACATATATATTTCAGTTGTTGAGTTTTGCCAATAAATAAGTTGGTAAAGTTGGTTGGATAAGTTGGTAAAGTTGGTTGGATAAGTTGGTAAGTTGATAAATAAGTTGGTGAGTCGGTTGCTCAGTCGGTAGCGTCGCAGACTTCGGGCCCAAGGCAGTAGTGTCGTGGGTTTGGATCCTGGTCACTACCACTAACTTTTATCAGTACAGTTCACCTTTGTACTGTACCGGCTCACCCCTTGCTTTGCTGGATACGTTCCACGCACAGATCTGTAGTCTATGTGGACGGGCAAATGCAAGGTTAAAAGAGGCCACCAACCTCTTAAAAAAAAAAGTTGGTGTAGTGTGACTAGATTTTAGTAGGCCTATTAAAGTACCTACTATCATTGACTATTAATAGTCAAAGCTACTATTAAATGCAAAAACTGGAAAATATGTCTTTCTCTCTTTAAGTTGTTAAAGGGAAGCTGAGTGGCTGGTTTACGATTTTTTGGAGAAAGTTTGAGTCTTTAGAGGGCAATATAAACACAATCATGAAGCTAATAGATATTTTCTGATGGAATCCTATATCAGTGTTGTGTTTTGTGCCATTAAGCCACTGGAGACTAGGCCTAACCCACCCGGGTCACCTAGCTAAACTTTATTGAGTTGTTAACATTTTGAAATATTCTAAAATTAGGTTTACTTACAAGAATCGACCCCTCCTTAGGAAACTGGTGATCTCCATCAACCAGGTACAACAATACTGTCTCTATCAGCTCGTAGTTTATTCTCTCATGGTCCATCAGGTAAATACTTTTCCAAGTATGTCTGCTGTAATCTAAGGAAAAGTACAATTACTATATTTTATTTAAACTAATCAAACACTGATATAGTTAGTTGGTATTATTTAAATTATTCATATATAACAATGTCGATAATTAAATGATAGAACTATTGACTGTTACTGCTGGATTTAAATAAAAAAATCAAAAGCAAATCAAAATCGATTAGCAAATATACACCACAAAACTTGTAATCCAGGACAGAACTTTGACCATATGAAATGATCAAACACAAATATCTTTGAAGGAAAGTAGTGTTATTTGTAGGGATATAACTGTGTTGACAAGACAATAAGGTTGTTTAAATTCATATTTTATCAACAACAAATGTTACAGAGGATGATTTTCAACCATTATTCTTTTCAATCATGAGGAGGGCTCACAAGGGAAAAAATCACGAGTAATATTGGAGTAAAAGAGGAAACAATACAAGACAGGAAAATTGCTGGCTAAAAACCTCTTACGGCTCAAGTGGCCATCAACGTTGGTAAGTATGAATAATTAATCAAAAGAGAGAAAAATAAATATGAAATGTTAAATAACAATTCAATGGATAAATTGATCTTGTTTCAGAACTAATACCATACTACTGGGAGTAAACTGGTCTTGTGGTAGAGCACAGGACTTTGATCCTTGAGATCCTGGGTTCTAATCCTGCCAATCACCAATGTGTTTTACTGTTGTATCTGCTATGTGATAACAAAAGGGAACTTCTTGGCCTAGTCTGAGGAAATGTAAAAAAACTGTGACTAACGCCCCGGATGTGAAGGCGGGAAGTAAAAAAATATGACACTACTCACCCTTGTACCTATGACACAGCTGTTTGACAGTTAAGTCATGATCAGCTGTTTTGGCATTGCTGATAACTCGTCCAGACATGACGTCAGCCAACTCTAGCTCTGTCTCTAGTGTCTCCAACTGGTTCATACTCGTCTTGTTGAGCTTCCTACAGTACTTGGAAGACTCTTCTATCACGTAGCCGGTTGCCTCCACAATGTCTTCCAGGAACAGCTGTTCTACTGGGAATGTACGACCTGGAATGAAACAACACCAACTTAAAACATACGTTGAACATACAGTTAATTCCCCTCTTAACTAACTGTGTGTTTGTTGAATCACAAAGTTGATTAAAACAGAAAACTACGCAAACATGTAAAATACCGTACTGTGTAATATTTGATGAATTAAAAACTCAGCTGGATTCTTCAAAAGTGTTTAGTTTTTCAGTAATCAATGTTTAGCTCATTATTTTGTAGGCCAACAGTAAAAATTCATGACTAAAAGAAACTACGAGGACATTTTCAAGGTTGGAAATAATCTTGGTTAAAGTAATGATTCAAAACAATTTTTCACAACGCATTTTAAGATTAAACTATTATTTTTTTCATATTATGCATAGGCAATATCAAATAAAGAAATTTATCCGGATATAAACAAATCATGTAGTACAAATTATTAACTAGAACAGTTGAAACAAATGGCTCTGATCAATCGACAATATTGGAGAATAACAAGTCGATTGATCAGAGCCATTTGTTGAAACATAAAAATTTTGCTTACAATTTTTTTAACACTCATGTGTTAAAAAAATTGTAAGCAAAATTTTTATGTTTTATAAATAAGGGAAGTGTTTGTGGATGAATGGCTATAGCAGTTTGGAAAAAAAAATTAAGTAGTAGGGCCTAAAATAATTGTTAGAAAGGATATCAAAAGATTTTTGATAAACTGAGATGATTAGACTATTGAGGAGGCAATTGATGAAAGTTAAAAATAAGAAAGATTGGAAGATTGGTTACTAGAAGAATGTTAGGAATATCCATTTAATTGAAGTGAAGGAAAGACAAAGAGACCAAGAAAAAACTGATAACATGATGTAGAAGAAGAATCAAGATAATAATTGTGAGATGTGAATAGAAATGGTTGGAGATGTATTGTGAATGAAGTAGGAGTCCACATTGGGATGCAGCAGGGGACTAAGAGTAAAACCTTTTCAAGATTGGAAGAAAGCTGTTATAATATCCGTTTTAAGACACATTACCTGGAATATCAACGACAGGAACATCGTTGAAGTACTTGCAGAACAATTCTGCATTCAAAGTTGCAGACATGAGTATCACCCGGATGTCTGGTCTTTGTGGGAGAAGCTTCTTCAAGATTAGCAGCAGAAAATCACTGTAAAGGAAACATCATGATTTTTGGCCAAATAAAGCAATTGAAGTAAAAACCGATTAATAAACTTTTAGTTAATAAAGTTTTGTACCGGTACACAATATGTAATTTATATTTGTTTGGGATTTAATTATAAAAGAATGCAAAATTTGCCTTAGGAAGAAAAAGATAAATGTATACGGAGGCCATTGACTTAAAACATTCGTACACAACATACTTTTAATAAGTAGTTTGACATTAATCTTGAGAGGAGTATAGCAAAATAGTGACTGCCACATACCTTTCCTCACTGCGCTCGTGAACCTCGTCTACAATAATGTGAGAGACGGAGGTCAACTGAGGGTCAGCCTCAAGCCTCCTCAGAAGGATTCCTGTAGTGCAGAATGTGAGCCTGGTCTTCTTCGATACTTTACTTTCCAGTCTTATCTGTAATTGAAGGTGGAAACATTTTGTAAAGCTTTTGTAATAGTTTTTTAAAATATGCCTAATATTGTGATGGTTTATTCGAGTGAATTTCCAGGGGAGCGTTTCATAAACTCCAAATTTCACAAACTCCAACGCTTAAAATATTAAATGAACAGAGCGGTTCATAACCTCCAAATTTCATAAGCTCCAAATCTATAACATTCAAATAATCACTGTTTCACAATGTCCAAGTTTCACAAACCCCAACGTTTAAATATTAAATAAACAGAGCGGTTCATAACCTCCAAATTTCATAAGCTCCAAATCTATAACATTCAAATAATCACTGTTTCACAATGTCCAAATTTCACAAACTCCAACGTTAAGATACCAAATAAACAGTGCGGTTCATAATGTCCAAATTTCATAACCTCCAATGGTACAGTCTGAGCCAGAAGTCTCTACAGTGGTTGCCACAGTCAGATAGCAGGCACCGTTCGCCAGCGCTCAACTACTGATTATACGTGCATTCGTGCATTTTAATGATTGAAGAACACTCAGCTGTGTGACTCAAATATGTGTTAGCACATAATGTGCAAATCAAATTTACATTTTTATATTTTCAATAGCTTTAATTCAAGCTTTCTGCTGAGTTTCTTAACTGTTCCGTCTCTCAATCTCTGGTCTTGATCTACTGAAATACGAGTTAAAGGATTGAATATCGATTTTATTTATGAAAAAAAATAAGCGAAATAATTCATGATAAAATTGTTGTTGATTGTGTGATTCTAACAGTACGAGGACGAAGAGTATCTCAACTTGAACATAGTGCGTAGTATCTATGAGCAGAGGACTTGAAAAATTATTTAAGTTTTGATATAATATCATACGATAATCAGGGAAAGGACCTATATCCAAGAGAATAGTAAAATGCTCACGCGCGCGCACGGTTTTAAGTATGTTGTGTACATTTGCGACTTTTCGGGTGCTTCATATTTGGCGCCAGAATGTGCCTTGTTGACCTTCATTCTTTTTTTTCTCACGCCCGTCCATAACGGATTTATAGTTACTGATATTTTGATGATTTATAGTTACCGCTTGACTAGTTACTGATATTTTAATTCACTCCACAAAATTCTGCCTGTACAGTATTTTGCTAACTCGAGACTTCTTTGATTCCTAACAGGACCAAACAGGTGAACAGGACAGTTAGGTGATAGGTCATACTGTCAATATACCTGATTATATAAAAGTAATATCGATAAATAAAATAAACTACAAATGTCATGTTTTATTTCCTTAACCTTGAATAGGCAATAACAATACATTTAGAATAAGATAACAGCTGGTTGGAGTGTATGTAATGTATGTAACGCAACTGCAGGTTTGCTGCGGCGGGGGTATTTTCATTTTAAAACATATGTTTACGAAGTTTACAAAATTATTTTACTTTGTTTACATGTCTTCATATTTCAAGCGTATTATTGTGTTGAAGGAATGTTTAACAATCAATAACCACTTTCACTAATTAATTATGGATTCAATATTAAATGGAAAACTCCTGCTTTGTTTTTATTTCAAAAACATTAAAATGAGATGATATATTCTAAACTTTTCTGTAAACATTTGACGCTTACTTTTGTGTTTAGTCAATATTTTGTTTAAAGCGGAATGATCTTAATGGCTACTCTGGAACTAACCTGAGAATTAAAATAAAAAGTTCGTAGAGACAATATATTTTTTCACTATTAAGCAATTACTATGACAAATTCCAAGAGCGGGATTTATTAATTTTTTTTGAAAAGGTTTTAACTAGGTACATTCTGTTTCTCAAAGGAAAAGGGGTTAAAATCATATAGACTAGCATGCATAGTATGAATAAAGTACAGGGAAACCTATAACAGTAATCTTTTGAGGTAGTTTCCTTTTCTTTATATGCATGTCAATGCTGGAGAAACGTAATTTCGTGATTGGTTTCGACAAATGGGTAATCAAACCCTAACCATGCACTGCAGTGGCAAAAATGTTAGACGTGAGCCGTTGATTAGCTTTTTCAAATATAGATGAATATAAACTCGTTAAATGTTTTAAAATAAAATCATAATATATCCATTGAATATAACATGTAATACTATCCAACAACTAAATGGCTAAAGAGGATGAAGAAGCAAATAAATAGGTACTTTAATATGGTCTCAACTATGAACCCGCTGAACGTTTTAAATAGGCCTATTTCGATAGAATGTAAAGTCAATCGCACTTTTAGCAGGAATTCCACCACATAAACTTAGAATAAGAGTAGTTTCTATTTTTGTTTATATTATTTTGACCAGAACCAAATCTAGGGTAAAGTTTAGTAAAAGGGATGCATTTACACTAATTTAGTTTACCTTAACGAAAGGAGTATAAAAGTAGAAATAATAACTGGGCCAGGTCGCTAATTTAGTGGGTTTTACCAAGAACTTAAATTATCTCCACATCTTTATATGCCTTTTCATATTTCACGAAGACAATTTCCGAAATTACAAACGGGGAATCATTTATATTATCATTTTGAAACCACTGGGCTAAGATAACCTAAGTAAATCAGTATTTATTTACAAAAAAATATATTAGGTTTGCAGCCTTTAGCAAAGTTAACCCTCTGAAATATTCTAAATTATTTATTGAAATTAACATCAATAATCACAATTAACGAAACTGTTTTTTAAACAAAAGGTACACAAAAGTTGGTGTGCAGGAATATATATCTTTACACATACATGATTTGATTACGAGTTAATTTATATATTACAATAATTTGTTTGATTTAATTAAATTAAAGTTAATTTGGTTAATTTGTTTGTTTTGTTGTTTAGGGACTTATGTCCCTACAAGCTCCTAGTTAAATCAACGCCACACTAAATAAACTTGGTAAAATATAATTAAACGAACTTGTTTATCTGTATTAGCTGAAAATTATTTAATTACTTTTAAAACATGAATACCCATAATGTTAACATGGGAAACTCCACATCCAGCCTGAAAGGATTTTTGTGATAAGAATATGTCTATATGTTGATTGGGAATATGTGCTATCATCATGCCAAATTTAAGACCTACCTGACCTGTAGTTAATGTGTTATTGGACTTCAAACAGACAAAAAAACACACAAACTCTCACATTTATAATATTAGTTAGGAAGTACGGTTATATTAACGATTATCCATGTTACAATACATAAACTAATAACTTCATTGATAGTGTAAATCAAATAAGGAAATATGGAAATTCGATTAGTCTGCAGGTTTGCTGCGGAAGGGGTATTAATACCAATACTTTACACTCTTAAGAAAGCAATTACGGAGCAACAATGATGCTTCGTGTCGCGCCGCTACAACAGTAGAACGTGTAGCGCCTACATACCGTACCACGGCAACTTCTTCAGCAACTTCTGGCAGAGACTGTACCGTTGGAGCTTATGAAACTTGGAGGTTATGAACCGCTATGTTTATTTGATATTTAAAAGTTGGAGTTTGTGAAATTTGGACATTGTGAATCGGTGATTATTTGAAAATTATAGTTTTGGAGTTTATGAAATTTGGAGGTTACGAAACGCACTGTTTATTTAATATATTAACGTTGGAGTTTGTGAAATTTGGACATTGTGAAACTGTGCTTATTTGAAAGTTATAGTTTTGGAGTTTATGAAGTTTGGAGGTTATGAAACGCACTGTTTATTTAATATTTTAGACGTTGGAGTTTGTGAAATTTGGACATTATGAACCTCACCCATTTCCAGGATAGGTTGTGAGGCAGTTATTTCTTGTCTCTTGCTTCAGTTAAAATCCCTTCCTACTAAAAAAAAAAACATAGGTACCATAACTAATAACTATCACAAAAAAATAACTTTGATGATGTAGGGGGTTGACTAGTGCCTACCTCATCATAGTAAAAAGATATGTTTGACAAACTTTAATAAAAAAATAAATAAATAGGATACAGGGTGTCCACAGAAATTTTGTCATCAATTTCCCTGACTTTCCATGACCATTAACCATTGATTTCCATGACTCACGAACTTAACTCAAAAATTATAATATACCGTACACACATGAATAATACTGCCTCGACAAGTTATTTCACAGAAAATATTGAAATATGTATTAACAGATAACAATAGGTACAACAATGAACTAATACAAACTCAAAACCCATAAACTAAGACAACTGTATAATTAGAAATTGTTGTACATTTGTGAAAAATTCGGAAAAATGCTACAATAGTCGCGGTTACGGCTGACTAGAGCATTGAAAGGTCCCCTGAAATCCATCCATCATTGGGGATTTCCATGACTTTTTGCCTATTTCCATGACTTTCAATGACCATAATTTTTTTCCATCTGACTTTCCATGACTATCCCTGACTTTCCAGAATGTGGACACCCTGTAAATAGGATATTAATAGTTAACTGGTTATCTAGGCCTACAGTCCTTTACAGTCTTACAGCAATTAGCAAAACATTTGACATTTAATCCGGTAAAATATGGTGTGAGAAAATTAATAAAAAAACATTAAAATACTGTTCTTAAATAGCTTGTCATCAAACATTAATAAGTTTGAGACTAAAGCATTCCGGGACTAATAAAGAAACCAGGTTTGTGAGCAAAGTAAATAAACTGTTTTATTGCGAGGATAGTGGAAACACTGCTAAAATAAAGTAAAAAGTTATTCTGAGTACGCCTCACCTCTGTTATTTCCCACAAACTCTGCCAAACGCTGCCCTAGTCTTAATTTAGTGTAAAAAATTCTTAAACCCTCGCTGAATTATTGAATGCCGAATCAGTCTGGTTTTACTGTAGACAACTATCTTTACTGTGAGGTATTCCCTCTTTTCAACTCCCACAAAATAAAAAAAAGGTAAATAACCATGTTGTATGTCGGGCTACAAGCAATTCTCACCGAATATCCGATGCTCGCACCGACACTCTCCAACCTCTCATAGGCCACTCTCTCAGCCACTCCTATCGCAGACAGTCTCCGAGGCTGTGTGCAGATCACTTCTACGTGGCTCGTGTCGCCTCGGGCTCTCTTACGCAGCCAGTCGTCCAGTATGTACTGCGGAACCTGCGTAGACTTGCCACATCCTGTAGCTCCACTAACTACCACTACCTGACTCTTGGATAGCTGTTGAACACATCGTAATCGTTTGAAAACTACATAAATCTATCTACTCTTATAGTTTATAATGACTAGTTTCATGAAACAAAAAACTATCCAAAGGGCTTTTACATTGCTAACGCTGTCCAACAATATTTGCCGTTTATCTACTTTGTATTTTAAAGTAATGATCAAAAAACTTTTCGTCTAAATTACTCACTGATAAAAGGATTGCCTCCATTTTACTAAATGCAGGTAGTTTCCTTCTTTGTTGAAGCATCGTCTTGTACCTTGGACTTGCCTCTTTTTGCTCGAAACGCTTTGCCAGTTCACTGTCATCTCTGAAAGAATTATAGTGTGAAAGATTGAACATTACAGTCTGAAAGATTCAATATGGTCACTTGAGGTACAACAACAAATTGAGAGAAAAGACTACAACCAAAGCAAAGTAAAGGAACAATATTAGGATTTTACAAATTTGTTTAGTGGAAGTATGATGGAGGTTCCAGCAGGTGTTGACTATCAGTATGTCCTCATACAGCCTAAGGGCTCCCTTTTAGTGCCGAAGCTAGTGCAATCAGTGGGTTACCATAAGTTGGTTTTTGTTTTTAGTTTTAAGTCAATTGTAAACATTTATTGGTAAATTAATCCACAGGCTATATCATCATGAAAATAAAAGAACAATGGTTAGTTAATATTTAACTTACTGAGGTAAAAAACATATTGACTACAGTAGAACTCTCTTAACTGAAATGATGACCAAACAAATTGGTCTAAGAAAATACACTGAAATATATCTTAGACAAATGAAGAGAAATGAAGTGATGAACAAAAAAGGGATGGCACAGGGTTTGTTGACTGCTGCACAATGCTAACTAGAAACACACTACCCACCTACACTGTGATTTACATCTGTCTGCTACAGATGCTAGTCTGTCAGTGCTGTTTCAAATAGTGGTGTTGTTGCAAAATGTTGTGAGAAGAAAAAAAAAACTTATTGTATATATTTAAAATATCCCATAACCTTAACATGTACGCAAGTTACATTGGCTCTTTTAGGAAAAATTAAAATGGTGAAAAACTATTTAAAAGATAGGTATTTTGTTAGAAAACATAACCTTCCCCATTTATTATAGTAAGGGATGGTCAAGTCTCGAAATTTCGGGAAATTTTCAATCTCGTTACACGAGACGAGATTACTTTTTGGCCGAGATTTTTATCGAGACGAGAAAAAAAAAAAAAAAAAAAAAAAAATTAAAAACGCCTGCAGAAAGTCAATGCAATACCCGCAATACAGGAGCGTGTTGTAGTTGCGTTTCCTTTTCGAAGGCGTTCTTATTTAATTAATTCTTTTAATGTAAATATTACTTTCATTATTTTAATAATATTACTTTAATAACATTTGAGAAGTTTTGTTAAGTGTAAGCAGTGTGAGGAATGTTTTATTACTATAAAAAAGTCAAAACAAGTAACTATTTTATAAAAATTAATATTGCTTTTATTTTATGATTTATTTTATTTTAGGATAAGTTGAAATCTATCCTAACTGATATCACCATGTTTCCTAATCGTAGGCATTTTTAATAAGTTAGGCGTGATTAATAAAAAAATGTTATGCTGATGTTATTTAATAAAAGATTGTAAATATTCTTGCCTATTATCATTATTTTAGTATTTAAACAGTCATCTAACAATGTTACAAAATCAGGTAAAAATTTCGAACGTGCATTTCCCGTTGTGCATGAGAAGAGAAATCTTGTCTTGAAATTTTATGAGAAATAAAAAATCTCGTCTCGAACTAAAAATCCAATCTCGTCCATCCCTAAATAGTCAATAGAATATCTCCTGTACCGTTACTTCAGAACATTGAAACACTTGAAATCGTATATTTAATTCTTACTGTTCCAGTTTCTCTTTGATTTTGTCCTTGCTGAGAGTCGCTGGCCGATATACCTCCAGCTCTTCATCAGATTCAATCTCCTCTAAGCAACTTGACACAACCTCAGGACACAGCGGCACAGCAGGATCCAAGATACAGGGGGCCGGGCCTCTTGCATTGATTACGTCTAGAATCTGTCAAGACAAATCAAACCAATTAGAACTTTACTATCTCCAAACTTTTGATCTTACATTCTACATTTGACTTTAGATCCTGAATGAGACATCCCATCATGGTGAAGCTGTTTCCAAGTATTATCTTGTAGCCTTCACAGTGTTTGGCTGTTTTGAAATTAATTATCCTCTGTAAGTTTTAGTTTTGTTTATGATAGCTGAGATGTCGCACATGATGGTAAATATCACAATCATTTTAAGAGTTGTGCAAAACAGAAAACAGTAAACAAAAGAATTTGTTTCTGTTCATTGAATGTTCAGTCCAGTACAGACCAAATGAACACACACACACGCACATAAACACGGCACATAAACATAATGAATGCCTAATTTAGACAATTATCCAAGATCAGAGTACTTAAAGACTCAATGTCTGTAAAATGACAAAATTAACTTTCTTAGAACTAGCTTTAGCTAAAGAGCAAAAAAAAAATTAAAGGGTATAAATTACGAAAATAAAAATAAAAATAGTCAAAACAGGTCCAACTTTAACATTGGAATCTCCACTTTACAGTGTTTGGGATCAAACCATTGTTAAATAGCCAACCAATAGCACCAGTGTTATCAACTTACTTCATCTTTGTTATGCAGCTCAAACTTGTCAATGAGCGAGTAAACACAGGGGAACTGGCTCTCAGCTTGTTCCTTGCAGAAGGTTTGTAGGTAGTAAGTGAGCTTCAGTCTTGGGGTGGACGGCATGTCATCACTTTGAGGACTGAACGCTACCAGAGGGGGGTCTCGAGGATAGCAGCACCCTATGGTTGAGAAACTTATCAGTTAAGAAAGTTAAATACTATCACTTACTAAATACTTCTCAATTAAGTAGCCTAAATGTTGGATTAACTTAAAACCAATCCAAATTTGTCATCATAAAGAGTGACTGCATAGGCAAGAAGGAATAGAAAACACAAAGGCAAGGGAGACATTGCTTTAACGATGACAAGACAGATGGTCAAACATCCAAAAAGCAGCTTGGACAAGAGCCCTTACCCTGGATGTAAGGGTCTGGGTGAAAAGGAATAATGGAGGTTCAAGCTATTATCTGACTCAGTTTCTTTCATAGCACAGGGACTTTATGGAGTACCTCTTTTGTACATGAAAAAGGTGCAAATGGTAATAGCAGGTGGTTAAGAAGACACGTAAGAACACGCTGTGAGCTTCAGAACCTAAAGAGAAGATGTTGTAAGAAGGCTTCTGGCCCAAAAGAGAAGACAATGCTTCCTGGAACTTGGAATCCTGGTAAGAGAAGATGTTAAGAAGGCTTCTGGCCCAACAGAGAAGACAATGCTTTTTAGAACTTGGAATCCTGGTAAGAGAAGATGTTAAGAAGGCTTCTGGCCCAACAGAGAAGACAATGCTTTCTAGAACTTGGAATCCTGGTAAGAGAGGACATTATAAGAAGGCTTCTGGCCCAACAGAGAAGACAATGCTTGCTGGAACTTGGAATCCTGGTAAGAGAAGACATTGTAAGGATGTTAGAAGAGGTTTGTCAGTGGAATATGGTGTTGGAGCTGGTTAAGGAGATTATCAGGGTAAGAACATTGAATCAAAGCAAGATAACATGGATTTAGAAAAAGCCCAGGAAGATGATTAAGAATGCAAAAGGTAAAAATGAAATTTATTGATACTAAATGGACTTGTAGGCCTGAAGATGGTTCATCCATGAATTAAAACTATAGTCTGTTCACAACATTTAGGCAGTTGAAGAAACTGGAAGAGAATAGCTCAATTGTTGGGAAAGCAAAGCAGACAAAAGCAACGCCATCGTAGTGCTCGGAAAAGAAGAATATGTAAAGAAGGCGGAAGATTTCATCAAAGGAAAATAACTTGAAAGAGCTGAAAAAGGATCCAACGCAGAGGTACCAAAAAGAGCTTACCGACGTCGTGAAGAGATGCACCAGAGTGATTCCCGAAGAATGTCGACAGAAGATGAACATCCTAAATTCTAAAGCACCCGTGATGGATCCCAATAATACACAAGAAGAATGTACCCATCAGACCCTTAGTTAACTTGAAATGTGCTCCTACCTACAATGTTTCAAAATTGGGTACTTACGTATTATACGGAGGCCACCCTTATACAAAGCGCTGCGGCGGTTAGGTTTGGTCATCATGAAGCTTTTATGACTTGTCTGGTTCGATTCATAACGAAAGTAGGAAAGTCCTACAAACATATTTATAATAGACCAACCTAACCTAACCACCGCAGCGCGCTGTAAAATAAGTGGCCTCCGTATAATACGTAAGTACCCAAAATTGTTAGCAAGTAAGCTCAGCAATGATTTAGAATTAGAATATGTATACAATGTAAAGAATAGTTATGAATTTGTTGAACGTGTAAAGAACATAGATATAGATTCGAATAGTAGGCTAGTCTCATTTGATATCGCAAATCTGTACACCAACATACCTGTATCTGAAACTGTAGATCTTGTTAAATGTAGGCTTTTACAGAATAGTTTAGACGATGAATATGTCAATCAGATTGTAAAATTGCTTGTGACTGTTTTGAAACAAAATTATTTTAGATTTAACAATAGATTTTACGAAAAAACAGATGGTTTAGCTATGGAAAGTCCACTTTCGGCAATTTTGTCAGAAATATTTTTACAGCATCAGGAAAAAGAAATGTTAAAGAATTTAAGAAAGAATCATGATGTAAAACATTCTTGTTATCTTCAGACAAGCCCAGGAGCAAGAGCACGAAACGATGATGCAGACACTAAACAGCCACCACCCGAACCTCACCTTTACCAACGAGTTTGAAGAAAACAAAAAGATCAACTTCCTGGACCTCACATTAGAGAAAAAAGACAGCAAGATAGAGTTTGACATCTACAGGAAACCTACGCAAACGGACACTACAATCAACAGCAAGTCTATCCATCCGACAATCCACAAGACCGCAGCCTTTAGATCTATGCTGTACCGAGCCTATAAGATCCCACTTCGCCAAGCCAATAGGAAGAAAGAACTGGACACCATTAAGAAGGTCGCTCAAGTTAATGGATTTCGAACCAAGACGATAGAGGAAATCGCAAGGAAGACGACGAGGAAAATCAATAGGCAGAATACACTACACAGCAGAACAACATTAGAAGAGATAAAAGAGGAAAACACCAGATATATCACATTTAGCTACACGGGGACTACAACACAAAGGACTGCTAACAGATTCAAGAAATACGGAGTTTCAATAGCCTACAGGACTCAGAACACCATGAGAAAATACTGCATCCGAAAATAGAAGATTTCAACAAATTCGAAGCTTCGGGCATCTATAAAATCAATTGTAACGATTGTGATAACTTCTACATTGGACAGACTGTGAACTTCGTTAACCGCTTCAAAAACCACATATCTGCGTGGAGGAACAACAAACCGGAAAGATCAAATGTCGCACAACACCTGTTACAAAATGGCCACTCACTAGGAAAAATGGAGGATAGTCTAGATATTTTAAAGAATTGTAAGAAAGGATATGTAATGAATGCTTGGGAAGAATTGTATATTTATAAGGAAAAATGTAAAAATAGAAATAAGTTGATTAATGAACATATACATTTTGATTCCAGTTGTACTTATAAAAATGTATTGGCCGGTGCTTCCGGTAGCCAATAGGGTATAAGTAGGGACGCCATTAAGATTCTTGTCGTTCGCCTATTGGGTCTGATGATGATTGGAGTGTCCAATCGAAATCGATCACTACTTACCATCTTTTTTGTATATTTACCGTCTTGTGAGTAACAGTATAAGCGTAAATATATGTTTTAAGTGTTATAAGACGTTTCTTTTATTTAGCCTACTTTCTTTTAAATTCACTTATGTTTTTTTCCCTTTAAATATTTCTGTACATATTCTGTAAATAATTTGTTGGAATAAAGAGATAATTCATTCATTTATTCATTCATTGCTTGAAAATCCTGATCAAAATTGCAATGGGGATAAAAAAACACTAGTAAGATTAAACTAGAAATAAAGACAATGGTTATTTCATAAGTGAAATTTAACCTAGGCTACTTATACAGGGTAAAGTCCCGCACGGGCTTAATATTTTCTAAACGACAACAGATAAATCAAAAAGATTTGGTACATTAACAACACACCTAAAAATCATTTTTTTCAAGGAACTATGAATTTTCTGTCATATCATGGGACACCAGAACCTTGCGGGACGCAAGGAGTCGGAAGAAAATCTTAAATGGAAGCATAGATATGCAGATCAAATGGAAGGTTTTTTTTAGTAGAATACAATGCCGCAAATCGCACTTCAAAAGGTTGATACTTCGCAAAATGGCAGCTGTTCAAAGATTTCTTGAATCTGCCATTTTGAATCTTTGAACGACTGCCATTTTTTACTCAGGCGTTCTTTTGAGCTTGAATTTATGGCATTGTAAACTACTAGTGAAGACCTTTAAATTGAAGTGCATATCGACCTATGCTTACGTTTTCAATTTTCTTCCGATTCCTAGGGCTGTGCCCCCTGAGGAGTAAGCGTATAATAGCAATGCAAATTAAATGAATCTTTGAACAACTGTCATTCTTGGCTCGGTTGTACGTTTGAGTTAAAATTTGTGGCATTATTCTGCTAGATGCATCCTAAAGACCTTTAAACTGATGTGCATATTGACCTATGCTCCTATTTAAGATTTACTTCTGACTCCTTGCAGGATGTCCCCATGATATGACAGAAAATTCATAGTTCCTTGAAAAAGTAGATTTTTAGGTGTCGTGTTGATGTACTAAATCTTATTGATTTATCTGTTGTCGTTTAGAAAATATTAAGCCCGTGCGGGACTTTATGTACACCCAGTATAATAACTATCCTCAACCCATAATTTTGTTAAAAGTTTCTGTTTTGAAAATAGGTAGATTTGTTGACTTAAAAAAACAAAAAACTATTCTGTCTCTATTTAGTTTTGCGTACATGCAACAAAAATAGGCAAGGACATTGAAAATATTAACAGCCATACAAGCATACCAACCTTTTGGGAATCTGATTTCCAAGTCAAACTTTGTCGCAGTTTCTTTACGGGCGTCTTCAGCTGCACATTTAACGACCACTTTGTTTACGGGTGGTTCATGAGAAAACCGACAGTTACTCCCATAACTACAATGACCTTTTACAAAGTTTCGACACATTTCTTTTTTGTTAGAAGGGGCTTTACTAGGTTTATGTATTTTGATCGTCGCCTCGAGCTCACTTTTTGTCCTATTATTGTAATTTTCTAAAATGTACGGCAGGTCCAAATGCACTATCCACAGCTGGTTGGAAATCCGTTCTTCTAACATTTGTCCAAATATTTCTTTCACCGACTCCAATTCTTCATTCCGTTCTTGCAATACATCTTCAGGCACATCGGTGTCTTCCACAGGTAGATTGACTCCCATGTAGTGTGACATTAAGAACTCAAAGGCCTTTCCGAAATCACCTTTGGTAACTTGAAGGGCTTCCGCACAATGGTTCTTGTGGAATCCGTAACTAAAAAGATTAAGAACATTTATTGTCAATTATATACAAAAGGTTTTAGGTAGGCTATTATAAGTGTATACACACTAACTTGGCTACCATTATGATTGAATGTGCAAAAGGTAATAGGCCTACTGTAGATTAGGTAGGCCTTTAACAATTATCAAACTTTAGTTTCCTCCAGTTTGTTATTTGCATATGTTTTGGTTGAGTTAAAAACAATATTCCTAGACAGTGTTAAACAAATTGACACAAATTGAGTGACAAATTGAATAAACAAGTTTTTGATTAGAACTTTGATATACCGGAACAATTCTACTGGTTCAATTGGTTTTTATGATAGATTTCACCATTTTGATTGATTTTTGATTGATAAAAATACTGAAAATATCTTATCGGTTTTTGGTTTTGTAAATACTGTGGGATATCAACTATCAAAGTTTCATTTTCTGGTATCTTATTCTTAGCCTATAATACATATAAAACGGCGAATATAGGTACTTGATGAAGATATATTTGATGTTTTATATTATATATTTGTTGAAGATAGGCCCTATATATTATTAAAATGGTATAAGATTACCTGTTTCTGTCTGTGATCCTAATTTGTAGTATGAGCTACCGGTTTCGAGGTTATAACCTCATCATCAGGCTTCTTGTCACTCTTGTGAGGTCGTCGAGTTTTATAAACACACAAAACACTGACATTTAAATAAATAAGTTACAAGACATTGACGGATACGATACGAATATAATTAACATAAAAAAATTGGAATTAGTTCCCACGCGACGCGGCACTGGCAAACGTTTTGTCATTATCAGAACAATGCCGATGGTATTTTTGCCTCTCATTATTGTAGATGCGAATCGCTGCGTCGTATATTATGTTCGATTTAAATGATGTTTGTTCATTTAAAACTTTTTGGGGTTCTGACTTGATGGCTTTATAGATTTCAAACTCTTCCATGCTGTTTAACAAACTTCCTTTTCTTGGGCAGAGATGCAGTATTTTAAATTCTTCTCAAAACTTGTATAATTATGGTTTTCATTTATTAGATGGTTGGCGAATGTTGATTTCGAATCAGATTTTTTACTGGACGGGATGTGTTCTTTATATCTTATATGAAATGAACGAGATGTTTGGCCTATGTAATATTTTTCACAGTCATCGCACTGAAGCTTGTAAACACCAGTTTTGTCCTCCTTCCTGGTTGTTTGTTTATTATTATTTTCCTTCAACATTGAGCTCAGTTTGTTGTTTGCTCTAAATGAAACTGTGACATTGTTTTTCGCCATTTCCTTCTTTAATGTGTGATTGAGGACAAAGCCGTAATCAGCGGAAGCAAAACGTTTTCAATAAGATTCACAGAAATGTACAATTCACACTTGAAACAGAGAATAATGATTCAATAAATTATTTAGATCTCAAAATCACAAAGGTCGACTCAAAACTTAATTTCAGTATATACAGGAAACCCACAGCTACTGGCCAAACAATACACTGCTCATCACATCATCCTTATAATAAAAAAATGGCCGCATACAACAGCTTGGTCCATAGGCTATTGTCCATCCCATTAAATCCTGCTGATTATAAAAAAGAACTTCTGATTATAAAACACATCGCAATAGCCAATGGTTATAAAAGCACAATTATTGACAAATTAGTAACCCGACATAAAAATACAAAAACTGAGACCAATCCACCCACCCCCGGAAAACGTTTTGCTTCCGCTGATTTCGGCTTTGTCCTCAATCACACATTAAAGAAGGAAATGGCGAAAAACAATGTCACAGTTTCATTTAGAGCAAACAACAAACTGAGCTCAATGTTGAAGGAAAATAATAATAAACAAACAACCAGGAAGGAGGACAAAACTGGTGTTTACAAGCTTCAGTGCGATGACTGTGAAAAATATTACATAGGCCAAACATCTCGTTCATTTCATATAAGATATAAAGAACACATCCCGTCCAGTAAAAAATCTAATTCGAAATCAACATTCGCCAACCATCTAATAAATGAAAACCATAATTATACAAGTTTTGAGAAGAATTTAAAAATACTACATCTCTGCCCAAGAAAAGGAAGTTTGTTAAACAGCATGGAAGAGTTTGAAATCTATAAAGCCATCAAGTCAGAACCCCAAAAAGTTTTAAATGAACAAACATCATTTAAATCGAACATAATATACGACGCAGCGATTCGCATCTACAATAATGAGAGGCAAAAATACCATCGGCATTGTTCTGATAATGACAAAACGTTTGCCAGTGCCGCGTCGTGTGGGAACTAGTTCCAATTTTTTTATGTTAAATATATTCGTATCGTATCCGTCAATGTCTTGTAACTTATTTATTTAAATGTCAGTGTTTTGTGTGTTTATAAAACTCGACGACCTCGCAAGAGTGACAAGAAGCCTGATGATAAGGTTATAACCTCGAAACCGGTAGCTCATACTACAAATTAGGATCACAGACAGAAACAGGTAATCTTATACCATTTTAATTTTCAAGAAGTGATCCTGGACCAAATAACATCATTAACCTATATATTATATCTTCATCAAATAGGCAGGAAACGTTTTCAACATACTTTTGCAGTCGGTTCAAAGCAAATACATTGAGCCTTTCGTGAGGTAAAAGTGCCTTCTTTTTTATCATCGAGTAGTCCGTTGCTCCCTGAATTACTAGGTGACCTCGGTCTACCCAATACTGATTAGCAAGGTTCACCTTGCTATCTTTATAATCCGAAATCTTTTTAGCTTCGAAGTCCTGAAAAGAAAAGGGCACAAAATGAATACCACAAAATAAGTAGTGAAATGGTACCAATAACATTATGACATTAGAACAGCATTATATGGCACCTTCCTTATAATGTTTTAAACAAACATATTATCCAATGATAAGGGGTTATCCACACTGTGACTTATATACAACATGTGATTAAGTTGTTCTATTTAAGCTTTCAATTTAACCAATAAGGTCTGCACAGGTTAATTACATGGAATGATGGAGATGAGATGGGTGAGGCATTTGACACCAATGACACCCGTTACTAAAAGCATTTTAAGCCAACACAACAAAACAAGCAGCATCAATAATTTTTACATATACCTGTCCGAAAGGTAACAAGCTCGACTTTTTTGAGACTTCTGTGAAATGCCCTCCAGTGAAATAATGTCCCAAGCTAGACCCATATCTAACTTAATAATAATTATCATGATAGTGTCATCTAAATGTCCAACCATTTTGTTTATAATTTTGTGTTGTGCAAATTTATCTCCTAAAACTGCGGCAATATTGCTTAATACAGAGGTTGTGCAAGAGTTTGACAATGCCAAGCCTGCAAAACAGGACTTAGGACATTTCACATGCCATTGCAGATAAATTAAAACTATCTAGGCCTACTATTGAGTTTACACACCTCCCCTTGGATAAATTTAATAGTTTCTAGGAGTTTAGTTCTGGCTTCTTCTGAGATGACAAGATTCGTCATTTCCACTTTTAACTGCCGCTGCTTATCTATAGCCTCCATCCTCTTGGAGGAGCCCTTTTGGGCTACCTCCACTGTCCAGTCTTCTGACTCCATCAGATTCCTAAAATTGATTACACAGTGTAAGGAACTTTTGTTTGTCGGCGCCAATGGGTAAAATTACACAAGCTGGTTTTAGAGTAGATCTATTGATCAAAGGGAAAAGAATGAAAACATCAACGATGAAAATCATGTTCTTGTTAGGTAAGTTACTAAAGGCCTTTTATTAATAGAGCAAATATGCTACTTAGGCTACCGGTAAGTGTGGTGAAATAGGTCTAGAAAAGGGTACAGTTTCTTAACTGGGCCACGCTAATATCGATTCGATTAGTGAACCTTCATGCGATGTTTTTACCATCAGCAAGTTTGGTGGCTGCACTTTACTTTAGGTCCTACACAAACAAACGAATGAAAATATTGATTATTCGATATATCAATCGATATTTTAATTCAAATGATGTAGGACGTAAAGTAAAGTGCAGCCAGTTTGGTTGGTTAGGTTAGGTTTTTATTTTATAATAGATATAGCCTATTTAAAAATATTGATTATTAATCAATAGGCTATTTTCAATTCGATAGTTTCAATCAATATTAGCATAGGCCTAGCCCAGCTAAGAAACTGTAGGTACGGTACCCATAGAAAATGTAAGTAATATGCCTAAGGAGAACAGCTGTATAGGCTAATTTGTAATGAACATAAGTTAGCCTATATGCAAGTAGGCCTAAGTAGGCTAACTTACATTTAACTGTTTGTTAACCAAGAGTTGAAACTAGGCAAGTTAGCATGGAATAGCCTACCTTGTAAGTAGGTAGACCTAAGGGAACTTCGTACTAAAAAACAAACAAAAAAAAACCTGGTACAGTACAAAAAAACTACAACTATACCTAGCCCTAACCTAGGCCCTACCTAAAACCTTTGGCCTGTTATTGAGTTAAAACAAAACTAAGTTAGGGTAGGCTAGTAGGCAAGTAAAAACAAAAATTAGAGTAGGATCTACAGCTAGTCAAAATACTTATAAAAACCTTAGGAAGCCTATAAGGCTTAGAACAAAACAAGAAACTGATTGCATCACTGGCTTACTCAATATTGAAGACCTAGCTCTCCAGTCATTTGTGAATGGTGATTCTAAGAGTACTAAACAATTGTCCATACAGTTGCTATTAATTTTTAAGAACAGTTTGATTCAAAGAACAACTTTGATAGGGATAAAAAAAATTATGTCAAGAATTTGTTAAAATTCTGAAATAAGTCATTCACAAAACCAATTTGCACTTTGCAGTTGAAGGGTTGTTATTGAGGACACATTGAGGTTAAGTTGTTCTGTTTCTGACGAGACCTTGCCGTCAGACCGTCACCGCCTTTTTTTCGTCTGTCTAGAAACGGGACAGCGGAATTGAAATCCGAACTAAACATCTGACCGCGGGTTTCTGCTTCTGTCATCACCGAGCTTGTTTTAAATTACGCGGGAACAAAGTACAGTAGCCGTTTAATGTTAAATATAAGTCTAAATATGTTAATTGAAAATTATTTCTAGAATAATTATTAAAAATTACAAATAGCTATATAAGTCCAAATAAAGATGAATTACATAAAAATCCTAACTATTATTACTTGTTGTTTACACTGTTTAAATAATAAAAGTATAGAAAGAAAAAGTTTAATTCCATGTCATTCTAAATTATAGCTTACAGGTAGGCCTATTTTCAGCTGTGAACATTTTAAAACTAGTAACATACCTCGTGTTAAAATTCCTGGTCTTCGTCTTCAAAATAAATTCTTCTTCAAAAGCGACAATTTAACACATATTATATTACACACTAACACACACAAATAATATTTACATTTATTTACAACATTTTCTTCATCTTGGAAACTGTAACAACAAAATGAACATAAAAATTAGGCTATTTTAAATGAGAAATATCTTATTGTGAATTTTCTATAGGCCTACTTGTTTATTTTGTTTGTTTGTCAGTGTCACAAGTTACTCAACATGGGTCTACGTTTATGTTTGTAGGTTCTCTGTGAAAATATCTGGGATGTCAGTGTGTGTGTTCAAGTTCAAAAACTTTTATTTCAGTAAAAGATTTCACTAGCACAGTGCCGGATTTAGGGTACTTGCGGCCCTAGGCCAAATTACTTGAGCGGCCCTCCCCCTGTGGTGGAAATTCCTTGCGATCGCGGAAGTAATCGTGAATATCTCCTATGCATCAAGGGGCATCATCATTGACACCCGTGATCATGGATGAAATCGTGAACATCTCTCCTAAACCAAGTCAAAGCCATCATAGGTATCCGTGACCGCGGCTAAATCTTAAACAACAAAGGGCAAAATCTTCCCCCGCGGGCTGCAACAAAGGGACATCATCCTTGACACTCGCGACCACGGCGAAATCTTGATCATATCCCATGAGCTGTGACCTTGAGGACATCATAACCGTTGCCCGCGACCGCAGTAAAATAGTGAACATCTCCCGCGGGCCGCAATCACATGGATGTCATCATCGACACTCGCAACCATGCCAAAATCGTTAACATCTTCCGCAAAGCAGCAATCACGGGGACATCAAAATCGACACTTGCGATCGCGGCAAAGTCGTGTTAAAAACATCTCCCGTGGACTGCGATCATCATCATCATTGTCTCCCGCGGCCGTACCGAAATCGTTAACATCCCCCTCGGGAAGGCATCACGGGGACATCCTCATTGATACCTTTAGTCGCGGCGAAATCGTTAACATCTCCCGTGAGCCACAATCACGGGGACATCATCATCGACACTCGTTACAGCGGCTAATTCTTGAACGTCTCCCGCGGGATTTGATTATGAGGATACATCACCGTCACCCGCGGCCACATCTAAATCGTGAACGTCTTCCGCGGGCCGCAATCATGAGGATAGATCACCGTCACCCAAGGCCGCGGCTAAATCACAAACGTCTCCCGCGGGCCGCAATCATGAGGATAGATCACCGTCACCCACGGCCGCGGCTAAATCGCGAACGTCTCCCGCGGTCCGCAATCATGAGGATAGATCACCGTCACCCACGGCCGCGGCTAAATCGCGAACGTCTCCCGCGGTCAGCAATCATGAGGATAGATCACCGTCACCCACGGCCGCGGCTAAATCGCGAACGTCTCCCGCGGTCCGCAATCATGAGGATAGATCACCGTCACCCACGGCCGCGGCCAAATCGCGAACGTCTCCCGCGGTCCGCAATCATGAGGATAGATCACTGTCACCCACGGCCGCGGCTAAATCGCGAACGTCTCCCGCGGTCCGCAATCATGAGGATAGATCACTGTCACCCACGGCCGCGGCTAAATCACAAACGTCTCCCGCGGTCCGCAATCATGAGGATAGATCACCGTCACCCACGGCCGCGGCTAAATCGCGAACGTCTCCCGCGGTCCGCAATCATGAGGATAGATCACTGTCACCCACGGCCGCGGCTAAATCGCGAACGTCTCCCGCGGTCCGCAATCATGAGGATAGATCACCGTCACCCACGGCTGCGGCTAAATCGCGAACGTCTCCCGCGGTCCTCAATCATGAGGATAGATCACTGTCACCCACGGCCGCGGCTAAATCGCGAACGTCTCCCGCGGTCCGCAATCATGAGGATAGATCACCGTCACCCACGGCCGCGGTTAAATCGCGAACGTCTCCCGCGGTCCGCAATCATGAGGATAGATCACTGTCACACACGGCCGCGGCTAAATCGCGAACGTCTCCCGCGGTCCGCAATCATGAGGATAGATCACCGTCACCCACGGCCGCGGCTAAATCGCGAACGTCTCCCGCGGTCCGCAATCATGAGGATAGATCACCGTCACCCACGGCCGCGGCTAAATCGCGAACGTCTCCCGCGGTCCGCAATCATGAGGATAGATCACCGTCACCCACGGCCGCGGCTAAATCGCGAACGTCTCCCGCGGTCCGCAATCATGAGGATAGATCACCGTCACCCACGGCCGCGGCTAAATCGCGAACGTCTCCCGCGGTCAGCAATCATGAGGATAGATCACCGTCACCCACGGCCGCGGCTAAATCATGAACGTCTCCCGCGGTCCGCAATCATGAGGATAGATCACTGTCACCCACGGCCGCGGCTAAATCACGAACGTCTCCCGCGGTCCGCAATCATGAGGATAGATCACTGTCACCCACGGCCGCGGCTAAATCGCGAACGTCTCCCGCGGTCCGCAATCATGAGAATAGATCACCGTCACCCGCGGCCGCGGCTAAATCGCGAACGTCCCCCGCGGGCCGCAATCACGGGTACATCATCATCATCGACACTTGCGACCGCGGTGAAATCGTGAACATCTCCCTCGGTCCGCTGAGACATCATTATGGTCACCTGTGATCGCGGCAATCTAGTGGTTTAAAATAAATAATTTTTTATCTATAAAAATGTTTTAATCCTCTGCGGCCCCCTTTTGCTTGCGGCCCTAGGCCGCGGCCTAATCGGCCTAGTGGTAAATCCGGCACTGCACTAGCATACCACTGGGCCGAGTGAATAAAAGTACAGCAAGTATTTACTTGCGAGTAAATACTTGCAAGTATTCATCGTTCAGGTAATCTCTTGTGAATAAAAGCGACTCTTTACTTGCAAGTAAATCCTATACTCTAATACGAGCAATGTTTGCTTGTATGTATATGTATGCTTGCACCAAGATCTCGAAAACGGCTCCGACGATTGTCTTCAAATGTTGTAAATAGTTTATTTTTGGTCTAAAAACGAGTTTATTGCAGTTAGAACTGCCAACAAAATTCTAATTACGTAGAAAAATGAAACTGAAAGTCTTATGGGTTGCTAAGTAACCATGTTAGTTGAATTGAATAACAAGGAAAAAGTAAACAAAAGACTTGTTAGTAGTCTATCCACAGTATACTAGCAATTACAAAATACAGTACAAAAGGAAAAACATCAGTTGTTACTATTGAGCAAAGATGATACTGAAGATTACTGGATACATTGTAGGAGGACTTTTTTTATCAATAATAGTAAAGGCTAGCAGTGTGGAGTGTGGGAACTGTTTATGACGATTAGATTAAGGTATCTGCAATCCTCAAATGCTATGGGAAGGGAGGGAAACAGGTCTGCGACGTAGGAAGTGGTGAAGGGAGTAGTAAAGGTGAGCAGTCTGGAGTGTGGGAACTGTTAATGGGGATTAGATTAGGGTATCTACAATCCTAAAATGCTATGAGAAGGGAGGAAAACAGGTCCATAACGTAGGAAATGGTAAAGGAAGTAGTAAGGCTAGCAGTGCAGAGTGTGGGAACTGTCTGTGGCATTTATAGATCTGCAAATCTAAAATGAGGGCAAACAGGTCCACAACATAGGGAGTGGCGAAGGAAGTAGTAAAGGTAAGCAGTGTGGAGTTTGGGAGTGGATTAATGTATCTGCAATACTAAACTGTTTTCAGAGTAAACTAATGATTTTCCCCGAGCAAAGCTTGGTCCCCAGGTACTACTTCCTAAATGAGGTGGTATACTGATCTATCGGATATGAGGGTATACTTGCAAGTATGTACTCCATTTTAAAGTAAACGTTATACAGTACAAGTATATATATATATTATAGGCTATATATGATAAATATATACATATATTATTGAAGGTCTAAGGCCTTCATTTAAACATGTAAAATGTGAAGGTTTTGCATTATTGAGACTTGTGGATGGATTTTCATTAACAAATAGCTTGAACATAACGAAGGAATACCACAAAGGTTCCATCTTCAACCCAAGCATTATTTTGCGGAAATCACTAGTGTCATACATAATTTAAATAAGTGTATTACACCATACTGAATGTGTTACATGCATTTATCAACAAGTTAACTTAAACAAGCATGGGTTACTGATAACTAGTTGAAAAACAAGTATTTACTCTTTAGGCAAGTATTTGCTGGTGGTTATTCACACCAAATTTATAGGTTTCTGAGGGTATATACTTTATTGGAAAGGCTTTTTAGAAGTACAAGTAAATACTCATGCTTATTCAATTCTGTTTAAGTAAATACTCAAATTATGAAAATTCAAGGCAAGTAAAAAAATTTGAAGTACAAGAACTTTAACTTAGAAAATAAGAATGTGTCAGCTGTTACTATTTCATTTAATTTATAATTGATGGTTGATTATTACCTAATGATTAAAAATTATTAAATATATTTCTTTTACAAAGTTTTATTGGTTTTATTTACAATCTGTTTTAAATTAAATGATAAGTAAATATGATGACATTTATATAAATTAAATAAAAATTGGGGGAAAAATGTATTATTAAT